CATCTTCCAGTCTCTCTCTGCCTCTGACCCTCCTGCCTCCCTCTTGTGAAGACCCTGTGTAATCCAGAATGATCTCCCATCTCAAGGTCCTCAACCCTCCCATCTGCAGAGTCCCTTTGCCATGTGAGGTGACACCTCCACCAGTTGCCGGGATTAAGACATGGACATCTTGGGGATCCTTATTCTGTCTATTAGAACTGCCACGTGAAAAATATATCAGCAAAGAACTAAGTAACAACCACCACGTCCCTCCAACCCCTCCCAAACCAGAGACTGCAGATGCCTGGTGCATCTTGGGAAAGAAGCAAATCTGCTTACGCTTGTGCAGATAAATGCACGGTTTCCAGAAAATCGGAAACGGGGTTGAATTACACACAGTGGTCTGTGGGCAGCGCTACGGGTCGTGGAGCATGAAGAGCTGCCCCTTCCTGGTCACAGAGCTAAGGCAGGGATGGCCACCGTCTGAGCAAGGCAGACAGGGCTGGCTCCAGCTGCTAACTCCTGGAGCGCCCTGGCCTGCATCTTCACGTGGGCGCCGGCAATCCTGCAGGCTCGACTCCGAGAGGTAGGATTTCCAGCCATCAGGTTTACCACATTATTTCCGCAGATGCTCAGGCTGAGGCATCAGTACAAGCCAGTGGGGAGGTCCTGGGATGAAGGCACAAGGTGTGAACTGCAAGCTTGGTGGCACGATGGCCTCGGGTGCGGGTCCTGCCACTCTATGTCCTGTGCCCACACTAGAGCTACATGAGGAAGGGCAGGCATGAGACTCAAGCTCCCTGGGGGCCAAGCTCAGCCCCGTCATTAATCCCCAGAGCAAGTGTGTGACATCCCCAGGGACCACAGTAACCAGGACCATGCTCGAGGAAGTTGTCCAGGACTAACAGTGCCTGCCCCCGGAGCCTATCCTATGCCGAATAAACACGCCATGTGTAACAAAGCCCTGACGAACAATGCGGGCCTCATCGCCTACTCCAGAGACTCTCCTCTCCATCTGCAGAACGAGGGGGTTCTCCACAGTGCCCAGTCCTTCCACCTAAGCACCCCAAACTGCAGAGGAGAAAACCAATGGGCAATCACATGCTCCCCTGCTGTGGGGCCTCTCCCAGCAGACGAGGCAAACGAAAAATGTTTAACAAGTCTCTTAAAAACCACCCTTGGGCTGGCCAGTTAGCTCAGTAGGTTAGAGCACAGTGTTATAATACCAAGGTCGAGGATTCAGATCCTGGTACTAGCCAGCTGGAGGGGGGAGGAGAAACACTTTTTATTTTCAGCATTTGTTTTAATTTAAAGAAAAAGAAAAAGGAAAAAGATGCTCTCCTGGTCAGACTCCAGAAGAAAGTGCCCCCAATGACCCAAGATGTCCCAGCAAGTCCCCATCCCTCAGAGCTAGAGAACACAGAGCTGCTCAGGGCCCAAAGTGAGGCTGGTTTCTTATTAGCCCGAGCACATCACATACCCATGTGCACAGATATTAAAATGGGTGCTCGAGGTGTGCTGTTTTACAGTGCAGGAAAACACCACAACACTTGAAAAAACAGACTAGTGACATATTTAGGAGGAAGAAATCATTACAATTAAGTAAATACACTAATAAGCAAACAGCCAGAGGTGGTGGGAAGAAGGCTGGATGAGAAGCAAATCCCCGTTGATGTGGGACCCACTGCCATCAGCCTGGCTGTCCCCGAGGGGTTGGGCAATTAACCGGTGCAGCTGTTCAGCTCAAGATCCCGCTCCAAACCAGGAATGGGTAGAGGGGATAACTGTTCTGAGACATTTTTTTCAAAATCAAAGGCAATCCTCACACACAGCTGGTGGGAATATAAAATGGCACAACAGCTGTGGAAACAGTCTGGCAATTCTCCAAAAGGTTAAACAGAATTAATTTACATATGATCCAGCAATTCTGCTCCCAGGGATCGACCCAAGAAAAATGAAAACATACATCCATACAAAAACTTGTACATGAATGTTCAAAGAAGCATTATTTATAATAGTCAAAAAGCAAAGACAGATAAACACAGTGTGGTCCATCCATGATATGGAATAATATTCAGTCACTAAAAGGAATGAGGCTCTGACACACGCTACAACATGGATGAATCTTGAACACATCACGCTCAGTGACAGACGCCAGACACAGAAGGCCCAACAGTGTGTGATTTGATTCACACAAATTGTCCAGATTGGGCAAATCTACAGAGACAAAAAGTGGATTCATGGTTGTCAGGGGCTGGGGAAGGGGGATGGAGAGTGACTGCTGATGGGGATGGGGTTCCATCTAGGGGTGAAGGAATGTTCTGGAATTAGTGGTAATAGTTGCACAGCTCTGTGAACATACTAAAAATCATTGAATTCTCTACTTTAGAGGGTGAATATTATGTATACAAATTATATCTCAATAAAAATTAATTTTTACATTAACTGGCTGGCCAAATTAGCTCAGTTGGTTACAGCACGGTGTTATAAAACCAAGGTCACGGGCCGGCCCGGTGGCGCACTGCTACAGTTCGCCGCTTGGGAAGCGTGGCAGCGCTCCCGCCGAGGGTTCGGATCCCACATACAGACCAGTTCCCGCTCACTGGCTGAGCGAGGTGCGGGAGCAACGCCGAGGGTTGTGATCCCGTTGCCGGTCCCGGTCCAGTACGGGCGCGACACTGAGGGTTGCGATCCGTTGCCGGTCACACACACACAAAAAAACCAAGGTCAAGTGTTTGGATCCCCATACTAGCCAGCCGCCAAAAACAAACACACGAAGTACAAAAAAAACACAAAAATTTATTTTCACAAAGTCAAAGCCAGCCTATGTGGGGACCTGCCCACACACAAAAAAACCAAGGTCAAGTGTTTGGATCCCCATACTAGCCAGCCGCCAAAAACAAACAAACGAAATACAAAAAAAACACAAAAATTTATTTTCACAAAGTCAAAGCCAGCCTATGTGGGGACCTGCCAAAACCCAGCAAACCCATCTTTTGTCTAGAAGACTCAACGCCCAGGCCTTTGGAGAAGGGGCCTCGCATTCACTTCTGTCTCTCACCCTCCCCCAGAGGACATCCTAACACCTCCTAGTCACTGCGCTCAGTTTCTTCAGGTATAAAATGGGTTGATCAAGGAAAATGATAACTAAGGATAACCTCGGGACACTTGTGAGGAGTTATTAAAATGTTATCTGCACAAAGCAAGCTACTACTCAGAATGTGCTNTACAAAAAAAACACAAAAATTTATTTTCACAAAGTCAAAGCCAGCCTATGTGGGGACCTGCCAAAACCCAGCAAACCCATCTTTTGTCTAGAAGACTCAACGCCCAGGCCTTTGGAGAAGGGGCCTCGCATTCACTTCTGTCTCTCACCCTCCCCCAGAGGACATCCTAACACCTCCTAGTCACTGTGCTCAGTTTCTTCAGGTATAAAATGGGTTGATCAAGGAAAATGATAACTAAGGATAACCTCGGGACACTTGTGAGGAGTTATTAAAATGTTATCTGCACAAAGCAAGCTACTACTCAGAATGTGCTGCGTTGGTTTCGGTACAAAGAGAACAGCCGAGTTTTACGGAATTGACCGTCATAACAAAGCATAAGCTTTAAGCATAAAAGCAATGTTTTAGGAGGCCCAGTCAGAACAGACAATTTCCTAACCAAGTCAAAGAAGGCCTCGTCCATCCAGCCCCAGCCAATAATAAGTTAACCTAGACAAGGGGATGACAGTTTTTCTGCACAGAACCAGAGAGTAAACATTTTCAGATGTGCAGGCCACAGTGTCTGTCCCAACTATCCAATTCTACCACTGCAAGGAGAAATGGACAATAGACAATACATAAACAAACTGACGTGGATGTGTGCCAGTAAAACTTTATCTACCAAAACAGAGAGTGGGCCAGATTTGGTCTACAGGCCATAGACCCAGATGCCTGAAGCCTATTCCCTGAGTTCACCCCTTCCAAAGGGGAAGCCGGGCTCCCCTGCCCACCTCGAGCTCCTAAATGTGGCAGAGCAAAAAAGGCAGCTACCCAGGACACAAAGTTCTAGTCCACACTTGGCTACGTGACTATGGACAGACATCTTCATACTCTGGACCTGCGAAGTGCGACAGGACCTGAGCACACTACCAAACACGAGGCATCTCCTCCTTGGTGGCCCAGGGCCAGCAGGGATGGCCAACATGGAGTCACCACTCAGGCTCCCCGGATTGCCCATCCCACATTAGATGCCCTCCCACCCCAGGCACTCCCAGGGTGCTGTGAGGGTAAGCCAGAGAGCAACAAAACCGTTCCCTCCCTTGGGCCACCACCAGAGGCCACCTCTTTAAAATCCCCTGTCCTTGATTTTTTTAAAAAGTACAGGAAGAGAAACTGAAACCCAGAGCAGCTGGGCAATGGATTTCTTTTAAAAGCATTCAAAAAATAGTGTTCCATTTTTAGAGACCCCCTCCACTTGAACTGGTCCACATTTCCTGCAGTGTTTGGGATGGGGCAAAGATGCCCCGTGAGCCCAGAAGAGGCTCAATGCCCACGACACAGACAGGGCACTGTCTCCTGGTCCATCCCAGAGTCACCCGAAACACACAAGAGCAGCGGGTCTCAGGGTTTCTAGAAGTGAGGGACAGGCGTACAGAGGCCAAAGGCCAAAGGTACAGACAGGGAGCATGCAAACACAGTCAAGAAGTGTCCAAAAGAACCACCCCCCCACCAAGGGGTAGAGGTTCCTGTAAGGACAACACGACCCCAGACACCAGGAATTCAGAATGTGACAGGTCATCACCTTCCCCCCACCCCACCCCAAGCGCAGGGGCCTGACAGGCCACCCTCGGAGAAGTGTTAGGTAGAGGTTCCTGTAAGGACAACACGACCCCAGACACCAGGAATTCAGAATGTGACAGGTCACCACCTTCCCCCCACCCCACCCCAAGCGCAGGGGCCTGACAGGCCACCCTCGGAGAAGTGTTAGTGCCTTGGTCTTGTGCGGCCACCTGGGGACCAGGGGCCCATGTTACTTACTTCCAAGTTCCTGGCTTTGTCCTGGATAGCTGAGGTTGTGGGATGAGAGATGCCCCAAAAGCTGGCTGGGATTTCTGTCAGGCACCTCCAGCAATGGTGATGGTCCCTAAAATGTGCAAATAAAAGAACAATTAACTAAATGGATTGCATATTCAAGTTCTAATTCTAAATAAACTCCTAACAGCTGCGTGTAGCCCAAAGACGCTTGCCTTTAGTCAGACTTTCCCAAATCCTTGCCAATTTTCAAGAACATGAAAACCCCATGTAAGAACTTTACCCATTAAAGTCTTCCAGTGACTGCTCATTTTAAGCTCAGCTATCAAAAACCAGTAGTTGAGGCAGTGAGAGCCTCCATGAGCGATCAAATTAAACCAAGGATGCTTCTAGAAGCCTTAAGACAAAGACAGCCACTGAGAAATTTCCAAGAAGTTTTGCCTCTTCAGAACCCCCACAGCCCTTCCGAGGAGACAAGGCATGTGGAAAATGCAGGGTTACACTATCCAGGCTCCCACCCCCACCCCCCGCCCAGGCCTTGTCTTGAGGACTCTAAGAACACAAAAACACTTGGTGAATGGAGGCAGGAGGAAACTCTACACCGTGAGTGTGGCACTAAGACCTTTTACAATCTGACCCACAGCTCCTGCTGCTCTGCAGGCACCCGGAGCTCCAGGTGGCCCCTGGGTCTGCCTGGGAGCCCTCCCTGCTTGGGAGCCTCTGTGCAAGGCTGCTTTCCGCTTTTTTTCTGCTTGGCAAATGCCAACACTCGCCTTAGAAGTGACTCCAGTATCCCCTTGGTCGGCCTGACCTTCTAGAGGGCAAGGAGCTTGCCCCTTGGGGCTTGGCTTAGTTGAACTCAGTCCCCACACACTTTCACCAGGAGTTTTAAGTAATGTAAGTTTCACACATACTCTACAATGTACAATGTACTCTGACATTTTCTATTTTGTTTTAATCTGGTTTATAAAGTTACTTGGCATGACCCATTCAATTGATTTTGCAATCTTTCAACAGGCCACACCTCTGGCTTGGAAGAACCCACCGAGCCATATAGGATTATGGGGCTTGGGACCAGACACACTGCCAGCTGCTGTCCAAGGGTTTATCAACCTCTCCCCCTGCCCACAGCCCTGCCAGCACCTGACAGCGTCAAGCACTGAGGTCTCAGGCTCTGGGTGTTCTGGAATCCTTGAATATAGCTAAAGCGGGTGAAATTAAGGGCTCCCAGAGATGTTCCTGTCCTAACCCCCAGGACATGTCTGTATTTTACATGCCAGGGGAAGACAACCTTGCAGATTGGATTACGTGAGGAATCTTGAGACGAGAGAATATCCTAGATTATCCAGGGAGCCCAATGTCACCACAGGGTCCTTACAAGAGGGAGGCAGGAGGGTCAGAAGAGGGGTGAGGATGCAAGCAGAGGCTGAGGTGACATGCTTTGAAGAGGGAGGAAAGGACCATGAGCCAAGGAATGCAGAAGGCCCTAGAAGCTGGAAAAGGAAAAAATGGACTCTCTTCCAAAACGTGCAAAAGGAATCAGCCCTGTTGACATCCTGCCTTCAGCCCAGAGAGATTTTTTCAGACCACTCTTCTCCAGGACTGTGAGAAAATAAATGTGCATAGTTTACAGAACGAGGTCTGTGGCCGCCTGCACCAGCAGCAAAGGTGACTGACACGGCAGCTGTGAGGTCCTCTTCCCTGACCACAGGGGTAGTGAGGGCCTTTCTGTTCCCCTGGGCCACACAAGCTTCTCCCTCATGAACTGCTGGCCCCTGGCTTTTGCGCTGGTCTTGATGGGATCCTGTATCTCCCTTGTCACTTGTAAACACCTCCTTGCACAGCCGCCACCCCCACTGCACGGTGGGCCACTCCCACCAGCACATGGTCTGAAAGGCAGAGAAGCCACCAGACCTGAGATTCCTGGCTGCTGATGCCCAGAGGGCACTGGCTGCCAAGATCATGGGTCCTTCTGCTCCAAGCTGGGAGGCTGGAGGCTCTGGGCTGAGGGGAAGCCCCAGCTCTCAGGGCACAGCCAGCACCGACGCCTCTGTCCACCCTGACCCCATCCACAATGAATGAAGGGCTAGGCTAGCCCACCTCCACAGTGCCTTTGGGGCTGAGGGTTCCCCACAGCTGGCCAGTGGCCACTCTGGAGGCTCTGGGAGGCCAAGGACTGGCCTCAGACCTGGCTGCAGGCTCCACTTGGCACAGGCCAGGAAGCCGAGGTGAGGGGTGTGTGGCCCATGCAACTCCCCCTTCCTTCAGTGAGCGCTGTGCACAGCGACCTCCTTCCACAAAGTGCACGTGTGAAGAGCAGGAGGAGAAAGTCACATTACAGTAGAGAAGCCTCACACCCACGACCTCAGCTCGGCGATGAAGTCAATGTGAGCAGCCATGTCGACGGAACCAAACCACGTTGAAGCCTTGTCATCACTTGGTGAGAAGGGCCCTCCACCTCTGAGGGCTTGCTCCCCAAAACCCACCACCCCAGTCTGACCACAAGAAAAACATCAGATGAACTCCCAGCCGAGGGGCATCCTACAAAACACCTACCCAGTCCTTCCCCAGACGGCCCAGGGCATCGGACACAAGGAACTTCCGAGAAACTGCCACAGTCACAGGGGATCCCAGATGGGCCCTGGGGCAGGAAAAGGCCACGAAGGAGTAACTGGGGAAACGTGAATAATGTGTGAACTTCAGTGAATAATAACATGTCAATACCAAGTCATCGATTGTGACAAAACGTACCACACTAAAGTAAGACATGAATAATAAGGAAACGGGGGAGGGGGAGAATAGGGGAACTCTGTGCTATCTGTCCGATTTCTCCATAAATCTAAAACTGTTCTAAAAAATAGTCTATTAATTTGGGGGCAAAAAGGCTAGGTAGGCTGGGTTTCACTGCGTCCTGTCGCCTGGCCTGCTGACCTCGCTGTGGGTGCTGGGCAAATCTGGAGCACTAAGAACAGAACTGGCCAGGAGGCGCCTGCACCTGTACGACAGCCTGCCATGGCTCTATGAGAGCCTGCCACAACGAGCCGCGACGAGCCGCAACAAGCCGTGGCATCACACACCAGTGCCCTAAAGAGCACAGTCTGACTGATGCTCAGTAGTCGTCGTTCTGCATGTGCCATCCCCGAGCACGTGGAAGCCCACGGCAGCAGCAGGCACCACGGCTGACTCTTCCACCCCTACAGAGGGCTGGCAGGTGGGAGAGAGCCACTTCCACCCCTACAGAGGGCTGGCAGGTGGGAGAGAGCCAGCTGCACCCCAGCACTGAGGCACAAGGGACTGCTGCAGCAGGTGGCATCTCTGGGATCCCCAGGACACGTGCATCCCTCCCCCAGCAGAGGTGATCTTGGCCATCAGGCTGCGGTCACCTCAGCCACCCAGGCTTGCCCTGGAGGTAGGCGCGGAGCCTGAGAGGTGGAGAGTTAACTGGGCATCCTCTGGGCCAGAAAGGAAGGGATCCCCTCACCTGTACACTTGATGGCTTGGGACCTAGCCCTACCTGCTCCTCCCATGGCCACAAGCCCAAAGTGGCCCTCAAAAGGAACATGCCATCTCCTGCCTCCCACCCAAGCCTTTAGCCCAGTAGGAGGGTTCTCCCTTCTTCAGGGGACTCTGTCTACCCCTCACAGGCTAGGGAAGGCCACCCAAAGCTTCAGAAGCGTCTGACCACTTGAACACTCTGCCACGCTGTCAGTATGAACTCATAAGGTCTTCAGGGGACTCTGTCTACCCCTCACAGGCTAGGGAAGGCCACCCAAAGCTTCAGAAGCGCCTGACCACTTGAACACTCTGCCACGCTGTCAGTATGAACTCATAAGGTTTTGAAGATTCCTATACAGACAGACGCAGAAGTAAATACAAACCTGCATGGGCACAGGTGTTATGTTCCTGTTTCCAAGCTCTGTCAGCTGAGGGGCCTTCAAGCAATGACAACCCCAAACACCAAGTGCACCCAGTGCCCAGATGCTGGCTTCTAAATATCACTCTCCAATACAAAAGGACTTCAAAAGTTCATGGAAAAATAGAATTGAAAGCTAATATTAATCTTTCCATGAACTTTTTGAAGTACCCTCATATTGGGGAATGATATTTAAAAACCATATAAGGAACCAGGCTCCTTGGAAGAGAAGTGGTCAATGCTAGGGCCGGGGCAGGGAATAGACCAGACGAGCCCAGAGCATCTTGTGGGACCAGAGAGAAAGAGAATGCTAAGAGGAGGACAGGAGCGTGCAGAAAGGACACAGGAAGGAGGTCCCAATAGCAACACAAGGACAACTTGTGCAACAAAATAAATAATGATAGTATTGGGTTATAACCCTCAGAATAGAATAAATACACAGACGTCTTTACTGATATAACTTTTTTAATGGCGGCTGGCTGGTACTAGATTGAGCCCTAGACCTTGATGTTGTCAACACCACACATGCTCCATCCAACTGAGCTAACTGGCCAGCCCCACTGCATCAACCTGTGCATACTTCCAAAAAAAAAAAAACCATTTAAAGTCAGTTGGTTTTTGACAGAAACCTCCTGTGGAGAAGGGCAAACACTTGCTTGATCACGAATACCAACTCTGAAAGTGGGTCCTCACAATCCTTCTGACCTTTTGGGTTTTTAGCAGGAGGTGTCAGAAAAGTTACCACAGAGTTAACTGGCACGTGGCAAAAAAAAAAAAAAAAAAAGTTGGTTTTCAACAAGGGTGCCAAGACCATTTGATGTGGAAAGAAAAGGTTTTTCAATACATGGTGCCAGGAAAACTGGACATCCACATGCAAAGAATGAAGGTGGACCCCTACCTCACACCATATACAAAAATTAACTCAAAATGGATCATAGATCTACTTTAAGAGCCAAAATCACAAAACCCTTAGAAGAAAACAGAAATAAATCTTCACAACCTTGGATCAGGCATAGTTTCTGAATACATGCATGTTAAAAATGCATGTTACGAAAAAAGCATGATAAATTAGACTTTGTGCTTCAAAGGCTATGAAACAGGAGAAAATATTTGCAAATCATGTATCTGATAAGGAACTTGTATCCAAAATATATCAAGAACTCTTACATTCAACAACAGAAAGACAAACAACCCA